AAAAAATTGCCAAAATCGGTCAAGATTTGCCTGAACAAGAAAACTTAGTTACATTACAAACTCAAATACCTAATAAACAAAAAATTAATATTGACATCATTAAGGCATTTACTAATGCGGATATTCCTATAGAGAAAATTGAAAAGTTAAAACTATTTTTTAAAAAATATTGCACAAATGGTATTACATGTTATATAATAATATATCGATTTATTTATTTTTATATACAGTATAACGATAATATAGCTTATTTTGTATTAGGTGATACGATCGTAGGTACTAATCAACTTCATGAATGATACCTTCCACTTGTTTATAATATTGAATTGGAAGAACTATGCCTTTTACTTCAAGATATAAAGATTTGTATTACTATGGATGAAATGACTGATGCATGTGGAAGAAGTACAGTTAATATTCTTTTTAGTTTTGGGAATTCTACAAAACTTGTGAAAACAGAATTTCTTTAGCAAGTTAACTTTACTACAATTTCTCAGTTAGTCATTTCTACTATTTCCTTTTACAATATTTCTTTTGATAATATTATCTTATATATTAGTGACAATGCTAGTTATATGAAAAAATCCTTTTTAGATGTTTTATCATCTTTAATTCTACAAATACGTCATAATACTTGTTTTGTGCATATTTATAACTTAATAGGAAATACTTGGATCGAATATAAGAAGTTTAAAATTGTTGATAATGTCACTATAGCTATTAAATCTATATTCATTAATGCACCTTCTAGAAAAAGAAGATAGTTAAATTATCTTTCATTGTATGCATTAGATGATAGAGATATTAGTTTAACTTTACCACCATTATCTGTAAAAACTAGATGGTTTTCTTGGTTTTGATTTGCAATTTGGATGAAACCATATTTAAAATACTTAATTGGGTTTTATCAGCAAGAAAGTAAGATTTCGAATCCACCAAAAGCTGTTGTCAATCTTGTTAATTGGGTTTTTAATCCTGATACAGTAATTTATATTAAAATTATTACTGCATTTATTGTATTTAATAGAAAAGAGTAAGTTTTTAAATAAATATTATAAATATTATACATATAAATATATTTATTAATAAGCGAAAATATTGAATACATAATAGATTAATTCAGGATTTAGACTTTTTTCAATCAAGAAATA